AAATGTTCTGTTCTTGGCTTTTGACTCTTCTCATGCTGCTTGCTATCCCTGGACCATATCACCCACTTTTAGGACTTTAATTACAGCCTGGTTACTGATGACTTCTAAATTTCCTATCTCTTTCCTGACCTTCAGATCCACATATCCAATAGCAGGCCTATTCCTAACATGAGCACAGCCAGAGCAAGAGTACACACGGAGATACCTGACTTGTCCCCCTTTTCTTTTTACACCTTTCTACCTTATACTGTGAGGGGCTTTAGTTCTACATGTGTGAATTTCTAAACTCCACCCACACTCCACTCAAACAGCCACTTTTTTGGTCACTCCTTGGACTTAGGAGTGTTGTACAATGGCAGTGAAGTTCACCCTTAGGGAGGACAGACCTGGGGAAAAGGCTTGTCTATGGGCTGAAAGTGGCCCCGGGCCATTGGGGAGGGAATTTGGTAATCCCAGGAATGAGAAATGGAGCAGGTCTGAAAGTGGGGGTGTGAGCTCTAGGAAGTCATGTCCCCCTAGCACTACAGAGGAAGGCTTGGCTTGAGGAGAAACAGAGTGGGGACCATCTAAAGTGTGGGGTCAAGGGCAATGTCCCCAAGTTTTCAAATCTAATGATTTTAACTGCTCCCACAGGTACCTTAAACTCACATACGCAAACCTGAATTTATCATCTACCTCCTTTTCTTTCTCTATTACTGCCTACCCACAACTTCTTTATTCTCTTCGTTCCATGTTTGAGTAAATAGCACCACCAAACAATCTTTTGCCTTAGCTGTAAATCGGGGAATTGATCCTATCTCCTAAACATCTTTATAGCCTTTGCCGGTTTGGCTCAGTGGATAGAGCGTTGACACCTATGGACTGAAGGGTTCCGGGTTTGAATCCTGTCAAGGGCATATGCCTGGGTTGCGAGCTCGATCCCCAGTAGGGGGCGTGCAGGAGGCAGCCGATCAATGATTCTCTCTCATCATTGATGTTTTTATCTTTCTCTCCCTCTCCCTTCCTCTCTGAAATCAATAAAAATATTAAAATATAAACATCTTTATAATGCCTGTCTTCACTTCATAACCTCACCTGTCTGCCTTAGTTTGGATTGTCATTATTTGTCATCTGGTCTTACTCCCACCATAAGCAGTTTCTAGCTTAAAAAGTTTTCATTTGTTTCCCATTGCCTTTAGGATAAATCTAAGCTCCTTAGAAACCAGAAAGCCCGTTGGGATTTGGTTCCTGCTTATCGTTCTAGATCAATCTATCATCACTTCCTCATTTTACATATATACTTTATCCAGTTGAATTACTTGTATTTCCCTGGATGGGCCACACTTAGCCACATTTCCTTGACTATCTATGCGCTTCTTCCTTTACTGGAATAACCTTTTTCACCTAATTAATTTAACCTAACTAATCCATTTTTATCCTTTGAACCTCAGCAAAATGTCACATCTAGAAAACTCTGTGCTCCCGTTAGTGTCTCCTTCCCCCACTTGCTTGTTAGGGGCCTCTCTTATATGCTGTTATAGTACTTGGTGCTTTTGTATCATGCTAGTTGTAATTCTGTTTTTCCCTCTGGAATACGAGCACCTTGAAGGCAAAAACTCTGTCTTTATTCCTGTCCTAGTACCCAGCACAGAATACGACACCTAGAAGGCAGGCCCTCTATAAATGCTTACTGAATGAATCAAAGACATATGAAATGAACATTCTATTTATATATACTTTTTAAAAAATATTTTTTAAATCCTGACCCAGGGACATGTTTTTTTTTTTGTTTTTTTGTTTTTTGAGAGAGAGAGAGAGAGAGAAAATCGATCTGTTGCCCCACAATCTGGGTATGTCCCCTGACGGGGATTCGAATCTGCTATCTTTTGGTGTATGGGAGGACGCTCCACCAACTAAGCCACACCGGCCAGGGCTATATATACTTTTTTAAAATTACTGTTTTTTTATGTAATTAATAAGCAATTTATGTGTCAATTACTATAAGGTAGAAGGAGTTCTGAAATCAGTTTCTAGTTTTTGCTGATAAAAATCCTTAAATATGTGTGACCATGAAAAATGCCTTTGTTGTGCTGAGCCTGGTTTTCTCCTCTTCCAAGCTCTGTGGAACCTTTTCTGGATGCCAAGATATTATGTCCTGGGATTGTCATGTCCTAATGGCAGGGCCTTATTGCCAGTCTTGGGTTACTTATGCCTTTCCTCAACCTTCACTTTAAGTAATTTTTAAACAGGTACTGACTGTATTGCTATTAGGAGGTTTTGTTGTTCTTTAATACTCCCTGTAGAATGCTGGTATTCTGCTCCACTTCTTAAGCTGGGAATTTTGTCTTTGTGGGGGCACTTGGCTTTGCTAATGGTATCTGAGTTCTTAGTGTCCTGACCTGTCTCTAGTCCTGAATTCTGCCCTTTTGTATTCTTCACCATGCTGAGGTACAGGAAGGATTGCTGCAAACTCCCCTTTTTGTGGGTGTAAGTGGGAAGTAACTCTGATTGGGATCCAAGATATTAAAATGGGTTTCCCCACTGACTGACAGTACACATGAAATCATAATTTTTAATAGCTGTAACACACTTTTCTGCATAAGTAACCAATGCCCCATTCTGAATGGCCAGCTCTGTTTTTGGTGAAGTGGGAGCTAACTTTTCCTAGGGCAGTGGGTGGATGGAATGCTCCTAAGAAGCTCCATTTCAGAACTCTTTTAAACAATTTTAAAAGTGTTTAAACATTTTTAATTATATATAATCTTTGTAACAATTCAGAAGTATATGCAGTCATGTGCTGCTTAACAACAGGAAATGTTCTGAGAAATGCGCCGTTAGGCTATTTCGTTATTGTGTGAACATCATAGAATGCACTTCCACAAACCTACTGTGCACCTAGGTTATATGGTATACCACTATCGTTTATGTGGTCTGTCGTTGACTGAAATGTTATGTGGCTCATGACATAGTAAAAAGTGAAAATCTTCTTCACCTATTCCCGTACTCCCATTCCATACCTCTCCCCTAGGTAGCTACAGTACAGTTTAGAGGGTATCTATCCTTTCAGACTTTTCTCCATGCATTTACACATGAAGTTTTTTTGTTTTGGGAACATCACATATGTAGCTTGTTTTCACAAAAATGAGATTGTAATGTACATATTGTTCTGTGACCTTTTTTAAAACTCTTCTTTCCAGGTCAGTAGCTATTCATTAACTTATAGCAGCTGCCTACTATTCTATTGTTGATTAATTGCTCAAAGCTCCCAAAGTGAGCTAATTTTATCAAACCAGGAAGGCTACTTTTGGTTTTGTTGACATTAGATCTCAGCCAGTTAGCTGTTTTGTTTTTCCCCACAAGTACTCTTTGAAATCTATGCATCTTTTTTTTTTACTTTCCTTACTAATTATGCTTATTTGCAGTTATAATTTGCTGTCACATTTTACTATAATAATCATTGTTAAATTTGATTCCAGAATGCCTCACACATGTGCCATAAACAAACACTACTACACTTTCAGTGTAATGTTAAACTTATCCCTGGCTGCTACATAGCTCAATGTGTTCCTATTTTAACCATTTCATAGCTAATATTATTTGAGCTATATTAACATATCAAATGAGGCTGCATTGGCCTTGGTAAAGCTGAACAGTGGCCAGTGTGTTTAAATATTTGTTATTTAAAAACTTCATCATGGTGGCTTTTGAACATACACAAAAGTAGACAGTATGATCTATAATAATAAAAGCATAATATGCTAATTAGACTGGTCAGAAGCGGACGACCTTCCAGACGAAGCCGGGGCTGTGAGGGAAGCCTGGGTCCCAGGTGCCTGCTGGTGGCCAGAGGGAAGCCCGGGTCCCGGGTGCCAGAGGGAAGCTGGTGCCAGCAGCCGGGGGGAGGAAGGCCTACTCTTGCACGAATTTCATGCATCGGGCCTCTAGTAGTATAATAAAGCCCTATATACTATAACCCAGCCCCAAGAACCATCAACCCATGACCAATCATTTGGGAATATCAACCATGTTCAGGTACACATTATCTCACTTAACTCCACAGCAACTTTGTTAGCTATTATCTTAGGTTTGTCTCGAATTGCATAGCTTATTTGTAATAAATAAATTCAACTCAGGACTCAACCCTACGGCCGATACACCAGTGGATCCCAAACTAGAAGGAACCTTTAGCATAATAGATGCCAAGGTCTCTCCAGTCCTACTAAAACTGAATCTCTGTTGATGAGGGAGGGGAAGGGAGTCCTTGGAAAGTGAAAATTTTATAAAGTTCCTCAACTGATTTCGAAGAACCAGTTTTGAAACCACTACCCTACCCAGTGCTGCCTGCTCAAGCAGTGGTTCTCAAACCAGGTATCAGACTTTAAGATGACCTTGTAAATTCTAAGTTCTACAATTCCTCATTATATTTAGTGTTGGCCCTAAACACTTGCGTTTCATAAAAATCAAGACTACCAAAATAAAATGCCACGGCGGGGGGGCGAGGGTGGGGGGAAGAGGGGAGGAGAGGCATTTTCTCGTGCAACTAACTAGTACTGGGGGCGGATGCGGGGGGAGGGGGGACAATCACGCACAGATCGGCTGACACTAATCCCCAAATGGGCCAAAGGTGATAAATTCTGATCAACCACAAAGGGACTTCTAGTTTCCTTTAATCGATCCCGGGGCCTACTTATTGCGTCCCACGGCTGCAACTGACCAAAGATGGGGCTCACGTCACAACTCCTCGTCCCCAAAATTCTCTGCTCTTGCTCGGAGATTAGCACAAGGGGGGTTAGAGGGAAAGCGGGAGCTTGTCACCAAGTCTTCCAGAAAGAGCGTAGTCCCCCAGGCATCCGGGCCGGGATGGGGGTAGGACTCCAGCCAAGCAGGTCTCCAGCCGACATAAGCAGGCGGGGCGAGCAACACCGGCCCTCCCGCGGGCTCCCAAGCTCTTCAATTTCCCGGCGCCCCGCCCCTAACCGCCCGCCCTCGTTTCCAAGGCGTCCCACAGGAAGTGACCTCACGACGGTGGCGTGGATACGCAGGCACTTCCGGCGGCCGCGCCTGTGGGGGTGGGTTGCAGCAGCCCCTTGGTCTGTGGGTTCCTCCTCGAGTTTGGGCTGATTGGCGTGGTGTGCCGAGGAGGCGCGGACCTGACGGCTTGGAGGTGGGAGCAAGGGGCGGCGGCTGGTTTGTGGGCGCTCGTGGGAGAGGGCTTCCGGGGTTGCCAGGTGGGTTTGCTTTAAGGCTTCGAGATTCCAGGCTTCCTAGACTTTTATAGAGGCGGGCACGTGCTCGAGGCCGCGTCCGGCGCGCAGAGGGCCAGGTACTAGGGGTGGCCTCGGGGGCGTGGTTTGAGGTGGAGGCCAAGGACCGCGGGATTCTAAGCAGTTTGGGAATGGAGTGGGTGTGCAGCTTTAAGCGGCCTGGGCGCTTGGTTAGCCTTGTTGATGGCTGCTGCAGCTCGCCTACTCATTGCTTTGTGCCTCAGTTTCCTTTTGCACAGTAGAGTAGGGTGGCCGGGAAGAGCGCGAGTGCCACATCCATGGCTGATGGCTTGAGGACAGAGATGAACTGGGGTCTGAAGGGAGAGGTGGCTGAGAAACTAATGATACCTGCAGGGCCCAGTTTCTGCTGAATCCTGGGAACTTCCCCATTATTCTTTCCTGCTGTTGGAGTAAGGCTGAACTTCTTATTATCAGTGCTCTTTGTGTGATATTGATTGACTTTAACAATAATTGACTTATAAGTGGTTAAAATATTTTGCTGTGTGGGAGGCATAGTCCTCGCCTGCTTAGCCAGTTAGTTTTCAATAAATCTCCCAATTCCAGAGCTAGCTGGAATCATAACAATCCTCTCCCCTGGTATCAGAAGAGGAGCTGAAGACCCAGAATGGTTTTGTTCTCTTTCGTAGCCATTGGCTAAAGTGATTTCATCCTGCCGTCTGTATAATTGGTCTTAATCTCATCAAAGCATAAATGACAGTCTTCTGAGCAGGTCCCTGTTTCAACTGGAAACCCCCGAATGAGTCTAGTCTTTTTTTTAATGAATAGCAGATTAGGTGTACTAAGCACAAAATTCCTATTTGTTGGTTTTTCTGTGAAGATGGTTACAAACAACAACTTTTGATTACCAAGAATATTTTGTTGGAGCTTCCTTGTGAGGGTAGGGCTTTGGGACTAGCAATGTCTCTCAAACAATATCTCCTTTGACTGTGACCCACGGCTAGATACATATTACATCATGACTCAGTATGTCCCCTGCATGCATAAAGTGTGTGTACACACACACACACACACACAACATAAAAATTTACCCTTTCTACATATGATGCACTTGGACATTATTTCATTGAAAGAAAAAAAGTTGATTGCAACTCACTAAATTGACTGATTGCTAAAACCTATAGTTTGAAAAACATTGGACTAGAAAATGTTTAAGTTCTTCGTGATTCCTGAGATTCTGTAGTTAATTCAGAGTGGAAAATGTGTAATTTTTCTGTTGTTCTCAGCCAGAGTAGCCAGGTTACTAGAATTCTTATAAATTCAGATCAACAGGACAGGACATCCAAATTGGTAGCTCAAAGTGGATATAATATCCATAGTGATAGTGTCAATTTTAGCAAGGCATTTAAGTCTTTTATGATGGCATGATGAGTGAGATGGGGGAATTTGCCAGATTGTGGTAAAAGTAGATGGAGCCATGACTTTGAGTATCTATGTTTTGAGGGTTTGATTTATGTATACAAGACTGCTGGGATCTGATGATCTGAGTTGAGGCTCTGTCACTTTCTTTATACACAGAATGTCTTTATAGTCTTATCTGAAAGGTATGCTTAGCAAATATGTGGCCTTGATGAAGTATCATCTGGCTAATCTCAAGATTTGCCCAGTGCAACTTAATGGAATGGAAGGATCTTATAAATGGGAGGAATTCCACTTGGAGTCCAAAAAATTCAGTTATACCAGTTAATGACGGGAGAGATGTGACCTAGGAGGGGCTCATGTATAAAAAGATGTGGAATCTCAGTCATCTGAGTCAGTGGTATGGTTAGCCTGTGAGAAGAACTGGTGTGACCTGAAGTATTAGATTGCATTAGGAAAATATAAGATCAAGGAAGGTTGTTGCATCACTTGACCCCAGCACTGGTTGGCTCACACCAGGAATTTTAGGCTTAGGTCTTAGTACTCTACAAGAATAAATTAATTGTGAGGTTAGACATTAAAAGGAATTGGAATTTGTCAAATTATAAAAAGTAATTTTTTTATTGGTTGTCTGAGATGGTGAAGTTGCTTTGGCATGAGTGATTCTTTTTCCTATCATCATTTCATACATATTCAAGGTCAGTGTGGTCTTAAAATATTTTTGCTTGAAAGTTTCTAAAACATTGGGAAATCTCTTACTTTTAAGTTGGCATCGAAATTTTTCATCATAAACTTAAGTAGTTTAAACATTTAATTTTTTAAAAAAAATGTTTATTGATTTCAGAGAGGAAGGGAGATGGAGAGAGATAGAAACATCAAGGAAGAGAATCATTGATGAGCTACCTCCTGCATGCCCCCTGCTGAGGATTGAGCCTGCATCCTGAGCTTGTGCCTTGACCGCAATCGGACCTGGGACCCTTCAGTCCTCAGGCTGAGGCTCTATCCACTGAGCCAAACCTGCTAGGGCTAAACATTTAATTTTTAAAAGTTAAGGATATGCTCTGGGTTGGAGTGTTAGCCCATGCACCTAAGGGCTGCTGGTTCAATTCCTGGTTAAGGGGACGTCCTTGGGTTGCAGGTTTGATCCCCAGTCCCCATCTGGGCACTTGCAATGTTTCTCTCTCTCTCTTCCTCTCCCCCTCCCCCTCCCTCCCTCCTTCCACTCTCTCTAAAAATCAATAGAAAAAATATCCTCAGGTTAGGATTAACAACAATACAAAGTTAAGGATGTAATTTCTTATATTGTAAATGTTGACTTTGTAAAAATAATACAAAGCTAAATAAAATAACAATTTGATGTTTTTAACACATTTCTTACCGCTCAGGAGTTTTCTCGTGTTTCACGCGCCATCTGTTAAGGACCGCTCATGAGTGTTCTCGTTTTTCATGCCCATGGGAAAAGGAGCGAATCTAGATACTTATGTAAATTTTGTTTGGTCCCTCTTCATAGAGGAAAATGTTTTACGCAGTACCATACGTTAAAAAAGTACTAGGAACTTTAATTGTTTTCGTAAATAAAAATGTTATAATTATTGAAAAACAACACCTAAAGTGCATTACGATGATTTAAATAACGTGCACTTTGCCCAAAAACGTGCGGTCCCTGGCATATGTCTTAGAGATTTCTATGCGGTACGCAATGTGTTAAAATATACAAATAAACTTTATTACATTAAAAACCCTCTAAGAGCCCAGCTGGTATTGCTCAGTGGTTGAGCATCGATCCACCCATGAACCAGGAGGTCACAGTTCAATTCTTAGGGCACATGTCTGGGTTGCAGTCTTGATCCCCAGTAGGGGGTATGCAGGAGGCAGCCAATCATGATTCTCTCTCATCATTGATGTTTCTTTCTCTCTCCCTCTCCCTTCTTCTCTGAAATCAATAAAAACGTATTTTTAAAACCTTCTAAGACAGTGGTTCTCAACCTTCCTAATGCCTCGACCCTTTAATACAGTTCCTCATGTTGTGGTGACCCCTAATTTCATTGTTACAAATTGAACATAATTAAAGCATAGTGATTAATCACAAAGACAATATGTAATTATATATGTGTTTTCCGATGGTCTTAGGCGACCCCTGTGAAAGGGTCGTTCAACCCCCAAAGGGTCGCTACTCACAGGTTGAGAACCGCTGCTCTAAGATATATATAAATGGTATATTATATTACTGTGCTTGATTTTCAGATGTTAAGCCAGTCTTGTGTTTCTGTAATGAACCCCACTTAATCATGGTGTATAATACTTTTTATATGTTGCTGAATTCAATCTATAATAATAAAAGTGTAATATGCTAATTAGACCAGACGTCCTTCCGGACATCCTTCCAGATGAAGCCGGGGCTGCGGGTCCTGGGTGCTAGAGGGAAGTCGGTGCTGGCAGCAGGGGATTGAAGGCCTACTCTTGCACAAATTTCGTGCATTGGGCCTCTAGTTTATTAATATTTTGTTAAGAATTTTTGTGTGTGTTGATGAGGGATATTGATATGAGGTTTTCTTTTGATGTCTTTGTTTGGCTTTAGTTATCAGAGTGATACAGTTGACCCTTGAACAATATAGGTTTGAACTTCGTGGACCACTTATACCCGAATTTTTTTCTTTTTTAAATATACTTTTATTGATTTCAGAGAGGAAGGGAGGAGAGAGAGAGAGAGAGAGAGAGAGAAACATCAATAATGAGAGAGAATCATAGATCGGCTGCCTCCTGCACGCCCCCCTACTGGAGATCTAGCCCGCAACCCATGCATGTGCCCTGACCGGGAATTGAACTGTGACTTCCAGGTTCATAGGTCAACGCTCAACCACTGAGCCATGTGTTTTTTCTATAAATTGGCCTCCATATACCTGGGTTTCTGCCTCCATAGATTCAATCAAGTGTGGATTGAAAACTATTTTCAATTCTCAGTTGGGAATCTATCGATAAAGGTCAACTGTATGCATTGTTTATGCCATTTTATGTAAGGGACTTGAGCATTGGTAGATTTTGGTATCCTCGTGGGTGTGAGAGTGTCCTAGAACCAATCCCCTGTGGCTACCAAGGGACAGTGTTAAGTTTTTGGGGAATCAAAAGTTCAGAGATTTTAGACTGCCCCTAACTCCCTCATTGTTCAAGATCAACTGTACTACCATGGTAAATTAGTTGGGAAATGTTCTTTCCTTTTATATTCTCTGAAAGAGTTTGTCAATTATTTCTTTCTATATGTCTGATAGTATTTACTAATGAAGTCCCTGGGAAAGGACTTTTATGGGTAGATTTTTAATTACTAAATCAATTTCTTTACTTGATATAGGTCTATCCACATTTTCTTTTATTCTTAACTCACTTTTGGTAATTTGTATCATTCTGGGAATTGGTCCATTTCATATTTTTTTTCATTTTTCTTTTTGAACTTGTATCCATCCATTTTCACAAAATTTTGTCTTAAAGCAGAAGTCAGCAAACTTCTGTAAAGGTCCAGATGGTAGGC